CCCCTTCCTGGGTTCTCATGTTACACGCTCAGGTATGCGCCCTCGGGCAGATCCCATCCCCCAATGCAGACTATCCTAGTCACACTCCCCTGTCAGCATTCACAGACCACAGTAAGAACAGGCCCAGTTCGTCACAGGAGCCTTTTGTTATTTTAAAGTGCTCAAATGAGAGCGGAAATCACTGCTGGTGGGGCAGTGTGTCTGCCCAGCCTGCAAAGAGCTGTCAATCACTAAGAGACGGACCTGAAGAGGTCACGGCAGGTAGCAGCACAAGGTGACTGACAGTCAGCTGGTGGACGAGTGGCTGGCGGGGTGGCCAAAGGAGAGGAACAGCAGCTGGAAGGGCAGCCAGCCAGAGCAAGGACTCAGATGGCAGAGCAAGCAAGGGACCTTCTTCCCCGGGTGGGAGGTGAACTCACACAGATGCACCTCTGAACCTTGGGGCCTCTCTGACCAAGGACAACCACTGTGAGTGGGGTGTGGTGAAGGCGCAAGGCGGGGTACCGTAAAGGAACTTTTGGTGGAAGAAGATGAGGCGGAAGGCACTGCCCCACGCAGTCTGGGGTGGGAGTCCTGCTCACAGCTTTATGATTATGAATCCTGCTTGGGGCATTTTCCCTAATTAATGTCGGGTGATTTCTCTCCGTTCATTAAAAGTTTCTTTTCTACACTCAGACTCTGGGCTTGCGAGAGGAGGAATATTGCCTCTCAGAGGCGCCCAGGGGTGGCGGGTAAATGTCCCAGGTCACTGGGTGGTGGCTCGAGCCGGTTCTGTGTTGTATGGTTGAAAAGGAACCCCTAGATACTGAACCCAGCCCCGGTTGCTGCCGGCTCCAACTGGCAGAAGGGTTACACATGAGAGCACCCTGTGAGCCCATAACCATCCTTTTCCTACGACCTATGCCCCAGAGTAAGTGGGGGCTGGGAGCCAGGACGCCTGGGTCCTATGGGAGGGGAGTAGAGGCTAGCTGGTTGCATTCCTGGGTTCACTTGCAAGGAGAGTGGGCTCTACTAGGTTAGAGAGTGAGAGCGGGGCTGGGAGTCAGGACGCCTGGGTTCTATCCCAGCTCTGGGATGGGTGGAGCTGCCATCGGCACCTCTCATGAACTTACCTGCCTTGTGGTTTTATGTGTTTGTGAATGTGACGTGCAGCCTGTAAATTGCAGCCGGTGACTTTGTCCTCCCGGTCTGGGTTTTGGTCCCAGCCCTCGGAGGAGCCGGCTGGAGTTGCGGTTGCCGGTATCATGGTTGTTCTCAGCTGCCCGCTGGCCGCCCTGTTCCTGCTGCTGCTGCCCCTTCTGGAGGGTGAGTGCGGGGTCTGCTGGGGTCCTGACCTCGGGAATTTGCTGGGAAGAGGGATCAGATCGGAAAGGGACAGAACAGGGACTGTGGGGGTGGAGAGTGGGGGCTAGTGGTTAGAGCAGGGGTGCTGGGATCCAGGACTCCTGGGTTCTCTCCCCAGGTCTGGGAGGGGAGTGGGGTCTGGTGAGTTAGAGCAGGGGGGCTGGGATCCAGGACTCCTGGGTTCTGTCTCCAGCTCTGGGAGGGGAGTGGGGTCTGGTGGGTTAGATCGGGGGTGCTGGGATCCAGGACTCCTGGGTTCTGTCTCCAGCTCTGGGAGGAGAGTGGGGTCTGGTGGGTTAGATCAGGGTGAGCTGGGAGCCAGGACTGCTGGGTTCTCTCCACAGCTCTGGCAGGGGAATGAGGTCTGGTGAGTTGTGGGGCGGGAGCTGGGAGTCAGGACTCCTGGGTTCTGTCTCCAGCTCTGGGAAAGGAGTGGGGTCTGGTGGGAATTAGAGCAGGGGGGACTGGGAGCCAGGACTCCTGGGTTCTCTCCCCAACCCTGTGAGGGGAGTGGGTTTCTGTCCCTCACACCTTCAAGCACAAGTGGACTGGAACTGTCCATGAGGAATTACTCCCTCTGCCAATAACTTGTGGCACTCCCCGCTGGAGGACTCTGCCCTCTGTGGGTTTCAAGAGGGAAAGGCCAGGGGTGGGGTTCTCAGCACTTACACTGGGCGGGAGGGGATGGAAGTGAGGGGTAGGGGAAAGGGGAGATGGTTTTGGGGGGCAGGGCGAGGGCCTGTGGGAAGGGTAGGTTGTAGGTGGCAAAGGAAGAGAGATGTAGGGTTCGGGGGGCAGAGAGGGGATGGATAAGTGGGGCTGGAGTGGATGTGTGGGGCATGGGGCAGGGAATAGCTCATCAAGGTTGAGCAGGGGATTCAAAACCATAGCTGAGAGAATGGGCCCTTCCCCCATCATCCATAGGGGGCAGTTATGGGGCAGACACCCTGGATCTATGGTCTGGACTGTCTGTGGGAAATCTCAGCCAGAGAAGAAAAGCCTCTATCAAACTATGGCCCCCTACATACCTCACTTCCTGGGGGGTCACGCCCCAGGCCAGAGAACCACCCCCACCTCATGGGAGGCATGGGGGAAGGCCATGGGGGGAAGGGTGTCAGTTGGGGTTGTGAGAGAAGAAATGTCTGGGATCTGCCTGTGGAAATCATGTGTGTGTGTGTGTGTGTGTGTGTGTGTGTGTGTGTGTGTGTGTGTGTGTGTGTGTGTGTGTGTGTGCG